TTCTAGTTATACATTCAGGAATGGAAGAAATTGGGTGGGTCTGTGGACCCAGTGTTCTCTTGTGAGCAGGACCTGGGCCATAACTCCATTTATTATCTGTCTACCATTTATTTTATTCTGATGGGGGGTGGGGACAGGTGGCAAATGACATTTCAGATCCCTTGGCATTAATGCAACTTGGATCTTATGTCCAACCATCCTCAAGATATTTGGGTTTTCCCATTTCCTCAGCACTTAGTTATCTGAGTAAATGGCCATAGGTCCCTTTAGAGAAGGGTAGGGAATCATTATTATATATTTTTGTCATGTGTTAATAGGTCTTCATCCTGGTGACCTGGCTCTTCTTTGGTTAATGGGCTATGAGTAGGCTCAAGCCAGTGAAACTGGGAAAAATGATTTTGACATTTGATTGAGATATCTGCCCTTAGTTTCCTGCTCATCCATCCATGATGTCTTATGGTTGTATGTGTGAGCAATCCTCTTGATTGCTGCTCTTAATTCTTGCCTTAAGGGTGTCCTATTCTATTTCCATCTCCATAGCTCTCTGCAGGACATGCTTCTGGTTGCCTCTCTAATTTTACCACTCATATGACAGTCATCATAACTAAAGGTGAAACACTATTATCTGGCCTCTGTTTTTCTAGGGACTTCACCCTCATTGTCTTCAGGGAGCCTGTTCTGTGACCACCTTCCCTGGGGTCAGCCCTGGCCTGCAAGGAGAGCTGCCACCAAGTTTCTCAGGGATGCTGTGCAATCCTCAGTGCCATCATTCAGAGATTCTTGAAATCCATCCTCAGAACATGATCAGCTGGTGTGCCCTTTGGCCTTGCCTAACATAGCTGCTCAAGCAGGCCCATTTCCTGAGCCTTTCAATCCTCTCTTTCACCATGTGAGGTGGCAATTCAGGCTTTTCTACTTCACATGACATGTACCAATTTTTTTTCAAGCTTCTAACAGCATATTAGCATCATCTCCAAGGCCCTTGGCAAGGTGTTAAATCTTATATTCTGGGAAAGTTCCCCCATATCCATAAAGGCTTTGTTGTATCACTTTATATTCAGCTCCCTAGCATCCAGCCCCATGTATACTCTCCCAATTTCTGCCAGCTCCCATTAGCTGAGTCTTCAGGTGTAGTCCCTGACCCCCTTTCCCAGGCTAAGTGCACCTTCACCAAACTTATGTTGAGAATCAACCCTACTCAGTGGTCTGGGGTGGGCAGAGGGGGAGTAGGGGCAGATTCAGAGAGGGGAATGTGTGGTCTTATAAGGAAGTGGCCTTGACATTTTTTCCAAGGGGCAGGCTCACTAGCTTCTAATGGGGAGAACTGGCTCACTTCTGGTAGCCCAGAGGGTTCAAACGAATCGGGGGACTCAAGATTTCCAAGTGCATCCCCCCACATCCTGCACCTATGACTTAGAGTGCTATTCTTTCCCAAGCAGGTCCTTGGTCCTGTCTTAGCACAGCTGGTTAGGCTGAGGATCCAACTTTCTCTGGTTATTCTTGTTTCATCCTGAACCTGGTGCTCATCTCTTCTGTTCTTCAGCTTCATGACATGAGAGTCTCTTTGCCAAGGGGCTCTCTAGCTCTTATCCCCAAACATTAATTGCTGAGCAATCCCTTTCAGTCTTTCCAAAGAATCTACTGCATCTAGCAATAACCTTCAATTGCATTGTCATTATAATTTCTATTTCTTCCATGTTTATCAGTCACTTGATACTTTGAACCCTCTAGCATACTTGTGTCTACTACTATGTCATTCCAGTCACATCCTGTGTAAGTCTTACCTCTGCCACCCTGTTTCAGAACCATCAATAGTCTTCCTATGACTGGTGGCTGTCACTGCCAGTGTCTGAGGGGACACAGCACTGGAAGCCCACTGGGCATCACTTCTTTTGGGACAAACAGCTGCAGTTAGCTTCCCTGGAATCAGGCCCTAAGATGAAGGTCAGCATACCAGAAGTTGCTTAAGAAATGCTCAGCAGGAGTAACAGCTGTGAGGAGACAGAAGGGAGCAGGACTGGGCAGAGGAGGAAGCTTCAGCCTAGCCCACAGTGTCGCCCCCAGTACAGTCAGGGGACCAAGCCTAACGCCACCACATCAACCAGTCATTTGAATGCAGGTCGTTCCCAGAAAGAGCACAGGAAATGGGTGAGATGGCTGGCTTCAGCAAAGACAATTCCTGGAGGGTACTTGCAGCAGAGCTTTGTCACCAAGAACCAAAATCTGGATGGTTCCACACAGAATTTACTACTGCTACTTGTGTCAATTTTCCCAAATGTGGTAGAATAGAATAAGATTTATATAATATTCTAGTATTATATAACATTATCCTTACATTAATATATGATTAATATAAGAATAATATTAATTAATAGTATATGCTATATATAATTAATATTAATCTAATATTATTACATGATTGTGATACATATATCATGACATGTTATATCACATTAACTTTTATTAGTATGTATTTAATTATTAAGAACTAGACCACTCCAAGATATCAGGATCAAGGATGTATTTGAGTTGGAGGTAGAATGACCACAGCTGCATTTAACCTTGGCAGAGTCAAAAGGCGCATCAGAAATTATTCCCCTAGTTTCCATTAACTTGATGACTGGATTCTGGCAGGAAAACATCTAGTTCTCCTACATTAGGCAAAGCTTGTGCCAGGCAGTCAACGCGAACACACTTTTGCACATTTTCAGACACCCTTGTTGGCTCCAACATTGGCAGCACATGGCTGGATTGCAGCAATAAATGTTTGGCAAGCTACCAAGCACATGTTTTCCTCAGACCCAAGAAAGGCAGAGCTTTATGATCACCAGCCATAATCTGGAGACTGTAATGTTGACACAGTATATAGTCAATTCCCCAATATGTTGGAGTGAAGCAGGTCATCTCAAAGGCATGGCTATTTGCTCCACAAGGCACTGTGTATGTGGAGGGGGACAGATTCTTACTTGAGTTGTTTTAATTTTTGTTTTTTTGCAAGTTAGCCATCTCAATTAAAGTTTGCTTGGATGAATTATAAATTTAGGCTTTGGTCCCTGGTGCTATGGCTGAAAGATGGAAAGAGTGGCCCAAAGCTAGCCCCAAACTGATGTTAGATAAAGAGTAGAAACCAGTCCTTCTGACAACCAAGACTTGGCTATTTAATTTCCAGGCTGAGTTCTCCAAGGCAAGGGTAAGAGTTTTATTTTAAGCCCACACATGTGCCTAGGTGTCAAGCCTATCTAAGTTTTACAGGTTTGCTGAATGGTAAAACTTTCGAAATGTTTAACATTGGGATACAGGTGAGGATCGTTCGTTTAGAGTCAGCAATAGCACCACCTTTCCCCAGGATAAGCTATAGTGCATCTCTCTCTGATGCGTCCCACAGTGGGACGAAGCAGTGGTCCCTGCCTGTGACTGGGCTGTCACTACTGTGGCAGGAAACATGATTTTTGGAAACTGACATCTTTAAAAGTAAGCATGACCCAGCAGCCGACCTTGGGACAATCATTTTTTTCTTATTTCTTTTGGCTCAATTTCTAATTGGCTCAGTATGACTGGAAATGTGCATAAATAGCACAGACCAGGTTGCAAACATACCCACTTCCCTGTCCCACCAAGTCCCATCTATTCAATACCAAACCAAAACAGAATCTAGCTAAAAAACAAATTCTATGATATTCAGTAACCAATTACTCTACCATTCTTAATTTTGTTTGTTTTGTTATTGTTTGAGCTTTAGTGGAAGAACCTCTCCTTTGAATGGCAGGTCCTTTTCCTTGGCTTCTCTGGGGGGCGCCAAAATCATTCATCTTTAACTAGTTGTTTTTTCCCCCCCACTGTGGTGCTAATGCAGGGACTGTAGTGGAAGGGGCTGTAGGTGTTGATCAACCATGAGGTCTTTGGTTTATTCACTGTCCTTGGGTTGGAGCGAGAGAGGGCACTCTGGGATAGTGACTAGTGCAGACATTGTGGAAAATTGTGGGGTGACCTTTGTAATCACTCCCAGATTCTTTACAATGGTGCATTTTGGAGATAGGAAAACAAATAAGGAAGAAATGACTATATCTGAAGAGATAATATCAGTGTCCTGGGGCTTCATGAAAACAACCTTGGGGCAAGCAGGAGCTCTGACTCTCTGGGCAAGTTCCTGTGAGCACCTGTGAGAGGTGAGAGATCTGAGCTCTCCTTCTCATTCCCTTTTAAGGCATCCCGTGCTAAAAAAGTCTTTCAGTACCTTGGTATGTTTATCCTGTTTTTCATTCCTTTTTATTGTTTTCTCCTTCAACTTTACCTTCACTTCAGTTCTGTTTGGTGAGAAACTGTTTGGAATTATGACCCCAAAATGGAGGAGCTTCCTATGTGCTTTGTTCTGGGATCAAAGAAAAACATTATGTGGCCACCACCGGGAGCGCTGGTTTGGGGTCCTCCTGCCACACTCCTTCCTTCTGTTTTCTTCTACTCCCTTCTCACATTTGTCTGAAATTCTGAAACAAGGAGCTTGCATTTCCCTATCAATTGTTCTTCTGCCTATTTCGTAAATTTCCCAAAGTCAAACCACATTATGCTACCCTTCCTTGAGGTAGTATCTGATTAAATAACTGTGCCCCTGGAAGAGCGTCCTCCTAACCTCTCTGGGTTGGCGGCCCCTGCCCTTTCATTCAGGGCCCACATCTTTTTCCTCATTAGAGAAAATGGGGAGATCCTCCTTTCTCCCCATGCACAGATGAGTCAGAAGTCTGTCACTGTTTTCACTCAGCTCCCAGTATTTGTCCAGCAGTATCCATCATGTGTGTGTGTGTGTGGTTGTGGAGGGGTGCCAGTGAGAACAGACATAATGGAAAGATATCATTGTCTTTGCCTTTCAAGAGCTTATGATTTAATGGAGGCAGACAAGGTGGCTACAGGAAAACTGACAGGGAAAAGCTGAAATGGAAGAATAAGAAAATGCACCGCAATGACAACCATGATTTGTTGAATGATTATTTATTGCCAGACACTGTTCTAAGCACCTTGCGTGCAATATCCCATTTAATTCTCTGTATGACCTTTTAAGTTAGATACAATTATTAGTCCCATTTTACAAATATGACAACAACAAAGCCTCTGAAATGTTAAGTAACATGGTCCAAATTGCACAGCTACCACTTACAGGTGCCTGTGGTGCTGGGGCCTGAGCTAGTGACCACTCTCGTGGCCTTGCTCTGTGGATGCAGTGGACTCTCAGGGCAGATACTAGTCAAACAGCACACAAGGCAGATATTGTAGAGCTGAGCTGTTCTTTGAAAGACACCCAGTCTTCCAAGGGCAAATAAAGGGCATTTTGTGAGGCAGACAGGGGGATGAGTGAGTGTATTATGAACAGTAATAGCAGGTGCCAAGGAGGGTACGGTCAGGAGTCTGGCACAGAAGGTAGGTCAAGATGTGAGCCTCGTGTGGTAAAGGCTCCAAGCCAAAGAGACAGGGGCTCAGGAGGCCCTGGAAGCCGCGCGCGCATCATCCTGTCCAGGGCTCGTGCCCTCAGGATGAGGCATTGGGGAAAATCCCTGGTGTATTTCAATTTTTCTGTCTAGTTTTCTTTTTTGAAATACCTTTTCTTATACAATAATCTTGTTCAGTTTTGTGAGCTATGACTTTGCAATCATGACTCAGAAAGGTCAGAGAGAGAGCTGTGTGGAGGGGGACGTCTGCCAGCAGAACCAGGGACAGAGCTGACACGGAGAAGGGGAGAATCAAAGGCTTCCCGGAGGCCGTGCTCTGGGTGTCTGGAAGTGTGGTTCTACCGACAGAAGAGGAAGAGGAGCCAGTTTGGGGGAGGATGACCTCAGTTTTGGATCATTTGAATCTGAGGTGACATTAGAAAAGCCAAGTGGAGCTGTCCAGTCAGCAGCCGGGGTACAGGAAGAGGTCAAGCGTGGGGATGCAGACTTGTTCTTTTCTTTCTTTTCATTTCCAAGAAGTCCCATATTTCCACCCGCATGCCTTGTTTTGTTTTTCTGTTGGATATGGCTACCACATTTTTCCAGAGACATCCAGGCCCTGGGAGACTCCCAGCACACTTGTAGCCCTGCCTGCTCAGCCCTGTTTCCTCCACAAGTTTAAAACTGTCCTGCTAGGAAAATGCTGCTGATCCCTTGCCAGAATGTCTCTCCGTGGCAGCTGCTGGCGGCCTTCATGGTTTGGAAACATGTCTCCGCTGGATGGTCCGTCCGAACACGGCTCTCTGCAGCGGGACCCTGCCTGCTGCTATGTCTGCAGGGATGCACCGTTCCGCCAGCCACGGCTGCCAAAACCTGAGCAGAAATAGACGGTGACTGTTACCACTCACAGATGATCTTGCTGACTGGAAATGTGGGTTCTGTCAGGCACACTGAACTCACTCTAAAAACACGGCCACAATGTCTTGCTGCCCAGTTCTGGCCAGAGGCTGGGCCTCAGTCCCTGAGGTGGTGGGAGCAGTGAACACACTGACCAGAATGGGGGCCTTGTCACAAACACATAATCCTTCAACAAACCCGCCAAGGCCTGGAAGACTCTGAAAGGGTACAGCCCTGCTCCGCATTTTCCCTGGACTCAGAACCGGAGAGCCCATAAATAAGTGTATCCTGTGTTCAGGGCTACCCGCTGTCCTCTGCAGCTGGGTGAAAACTGGGAGTCTTCTCCCTAGAATGGGTTAGGAAAGCATGGCGGGTTTTATGGGGTGACCTGGAGTTGGAGTTTTAGGTAAGCGAGGCCTCTGTGGGTGACCCCTGAAGACCTAGACAGGGTGAGGCTGCCTGGAGAATATAAACTAAAAAATAGACTAAAAAAAATTAACAGACGTTTATACATCTGGGGACTAAAATAAAAAATATAACATTTGTGTCATCAGAGAAGATAAAGAGAGCAGGGATCAATAACTAAAATCAATATCAAAAATAATGGCTAAAAATTCCCCAAATTTGAAAAAACACATAAACTGAGATTCAAGATTCTCTGCAAATGCCTCACTGGGTAAACCCAAAGAAATCAAGACATATATCATAGCCAACTTTTGAAAATTTAAGGCAAAGAAAAAAAATCGTGAAAGCAGGAAGAGAAATGACATCTTATCTATGGAGAAATAATAATAATAATAAATAACAATAAATCATTCAAATGTCAGCAGATTTCTCATCAGAATCCACAAAGGCCAGAAGGAAGTGGCACATTTTTTAAGTGATTAAATAAAAAAGCTCATCAGCCCAGAATTATATGTCAAGTAAAAATTCCTTGCAGGTATGAAGAAGAAATTAAGATATTCTCAGATGAAGGAAAATGAAGAAAATTTGCCACTGTCAGACCTTCCCTAAGAGAATAGCTAATGGAACTTCCTTATTAAGTAAGGAACAGGAAAGGAATCTTGAAACATCATGACAGAAGGAAGAACAAGAGAAAGAGTAAAATATGGGTACATATAAAACACTTTCTTTTTCTTGAGTTTCTAAATTATGTTTGATGATTAACATAGTTCTAAATGTATTTAGAAGAAATGTTTAAGACAATTATAAGTGGGGGAAGGTAAGGGGACATAAAAGGAAGGAAAGTCTCCATACCTCACTTAAACTGGGGCAAAATATTGATACCCACAAAGATATACACTCAAAACATAGGTAAACTGAAATGGAATTCTAAAAAATGTTCAAGTAACCCTACAAGAAAGCAGGAAAAAAAATGTAAATAGAAAAAAACACAAAACATAAAAACAACAACAAAAAAAACAAATAAGATGGTAGACTTAAGCCCTAACATATCACATATTACAGTAAATATAAATGTTCTAAATATGTCTATTAAAAGATAAAGATTGGTGGATTGAATTTTTTTAATTATTATGCATGTTTTCTAAAAGAAGCTAACTTCAAATATAACAGTGGAGGCAGATTGAGAATAAAATGGGAAAATATTTCATGTAAACATTAATCAAAGGAACTTAGGTGTGGTTATATTAATATCAGATAAAGTAGATTTCCAAGAAAATAAAATTACTAGACACAGAGAGGGACATTACATAATGATAAAAAGGTCAATTCACCAAGGAGATATTGCAATTTTAATGTATGCACCAAAAAACAGAGCTGCTAAATATGTGAAGGATAGAACAAATAGAATGAGAATATAAATTGAAAAAGTCCACAATTATAGTTGGAGGCTTCAACAATACTTCTTTCTATAGTTGATACAGCTAGACAGAAAATCATCAAGGATACAGAAACCTTGATAACACTATAAACCAAGATCTAATTGACATTTATAGAACACTCTTCCCAACCAAAGCATCCAAAGAAACATACCAAGATATTGTAGGTCATAAAACAAAACTCAAAAAAAAATTTTAAATGCAGAGCATATTTCTGACCATAATGGAAGCAAACTAGAAATCAATAGCAGAAAGATAACCGAAAAATCTCTAAATATTGGAAACTAAACAATAAGCTTCTAAATAAACCATAGGTAATAGAGGATGTCTCAAGGGAAATTTAAAAAAATATTGAGCTCAATGAAAATGAAAGGAAAACATAGCAGAATTTGTGGGACACAGCTAAAGCAGTGCTAATGGAAATTTATATCACTAAATGCTTAAATTAGAAAAAGTCTCAAATCAATAATATAAGCTCACACCTCAAGAATATAGGAAAAAAGTACAAAATAAACACAAAATAAGCAGGTGGGAGAAATAATAAAAAGAATATCAATCAAGAAAATTTTTAAAAGATAGAGAAAATGAAACAAAAAGCTGGTTCTTTGAAAAGATTAATGAAGCCCTACAAAGATCAACGAAGAAAAAAGAAAGAAAACATAAACTATACCAGCATTTGAAATGATATGAATTATCACTAGAGATCCTACAGATGTCCAGAGGAAAATGAGATGATACTAAAATACATACAGTTGACAACTTAGATGGAATGGACAAATTGTTGAAAAGCACAAGCTACCACATCTCAGATACCAAACAGATAATGTGAATAGTCCTACAACTACAAGGAAATTTAATTAAAAACTCTCCAAAGTGAAATCTCTCACCCCACATGGTTTCATTGGAGAATTTTGTCAAATGTCTATAGAACTAATGCTAATTCTATGTAATCTCTTCCAAAAGATAGAATACGAGGGAATACTTCCCCCAAGTCATTTTGTGCAGCTAGTATTATCCTGATACCAAATTTAGAAAAAGAGTAAATAAAATAAAAATACTGATCAATATCTTTCATGAATATACATGAAAAAATCCCTAACAAAATATTAACAAATAAAATTCATCAGTATATAAAAACAATTATATGTTATGATCAATAGAGTTTATTCTAGTGATACAAAGCTGATTAAATATTTAAAAATCAATGTAATACACTATGTTAACATGTTGAAGAAATAAAATTATATGATTAAGTCAATCAGTGACAAAAAAAGCATTTGACGAAATCCAAAACTCATTCATGATAAAAATTCTCAGAGAAGTAGAAGAGCTTCTTCAACTTCATAAAGAGAATGTGCAAAAACCATACAGCTAACATTATACCTAGTGGTGAAAGATGGAATGTTTTCTTTCTAAGAGCAGCAAGGGAAAAATGTCTTCTCTCTCAGCTCTTAGTCAACACAGCATTGGAAGTCCAAGTCAGTGTAATAAGGCCAGAAAATAAAATAAAAGGCATACAGATCATTGGAGAATACACAAGGTTAATAAAATTCCTATCAAAATTCCAGCCAGATTTCTTTCAGATATACATAGGTTTATTATAAATTCATATGAAGAGGCAAAGCAATTAGAGTAACTCAAAATTATTTCTAAAATAAAAATAAAGTGAAAGGAATAAATCTACTTATTTCGAGACTCCTTCTATAGCTATTGTAATCAAGACTTTGTGGTGTTGGGGGGATAAGCACCTAAATCAATGGAATAGAATAGAGACACAGAAATGATACTCATAAATGACCCAACTTATTTTTGACAAAGGTGTAAAAGCAATTAATGGAAGGATAGCCTTTTAAAAAATAGTGCTCGAGCAAGTGGCCATAGGCAAAAAGATGAACCTTAATCTAAATCTCACATTTTATACAAAAAATTAACTCAAAGTAGATGGGTCCAACTTCATCTGATGCAAAGGAGCTGTTGTGCTTTGCCCACAGGCAGGTCTCCCTCTGGAAAATAGCAGTACCATGTTGGGTGGCTGGCGGCTTCTCCTCTTTATTGCTCTGCTGGTGACTACAGGGATGCTGGCAGTTGGAATCTAGTTAAAGTGGAGGCATGAAAGGATGAAGGCTTCCTCTGCTACTACCACATCACTGCCCACCATTAAAGTTCTTGTGCTTTACCCATCTGAAATATGTTTCCATCACACAGTTTGTTATTTCACCACATGTCTTCAAAACCACTGCAGCGATGAGGTTATCCTTGCAGAATGGCAGAAAAAAAATAGCAAATATGGGCCCAGCACAGTGGCTTGTCACTCAGAAGGAAGCAGTGGATAAACTCATTTCCTTTTTTCCAATGATGTCAACACTGTGTGATGGTACCTGTGGCAACTGCAAGAGTGGCCCCTGTGAGGACTCCCACGGCCTGTTCTCCCTTGCCTTTAACCTCTTCTGCAGTGATCTGAGGAACCAGATTCATCCACACAAATACATGATAGTCTATTTTAGAGAAGCTGATACCAAAGGTGGTCACAAAGCACTCAATTAATGTCTGCCCCAACTACGTCCTCATGAAGGATGCTACTACTTTCTGCACAGAACTTCTCCATGTAAGGCAGCATGTGTTGGTGGGAAAAAGGATCCAAGCTTGCCACAACAGCTGCTCATCCTTGTAGCCCACCCATAAGAAGTGAGAGACTTTGAAGCCTTCCTACACCTCCAACTGGGTAAAAAGCATCTGTGATCATTATTGGATGGTCTACTTATAGGGAGGATTCTTTTATATGCATATACGCAGCTGCTTTAGCAATAGGAATAGGGAGGATTCATAAGTGAATACATATGCCATAGACTACTAATTTTTATGCCAATAAAATTACTACAAATATTACTAATGACTGTGGCACTACCAGAAAATGGAAACTAAATTTAATTATAACGCTAAATTAATTTCATACATAAAACACAAGAATAGTTATAATGCAAAACTAACTATTCTGATAATGCAATGATAAGTCATCATCCAGTCTTCAATAGTCCATGCAATGCATACAGGCAGAACTGGTTAGCTCTGGAACATTCTAAGTTTAATGAACACCAAAGTTAAAAAGCCCTTGCTAATTTACTCAGTAACTTCATA